TTTATTGGTTGAGATTTGTGGGTAAGAGTTGGTTTTGAGGGTTGTGTTTGCATGTATTCAATATAAAGGATTGTGCGTAGTTATAACTTTCAGCTTTTACCTTAAAAACTAAATAGATCACCTCAGCTCTTTTAAAGGTTGTATTCTGCACTGTAATTTTGTGACGTAATAGGGTACCCTATATTACATAAAAATGTTAACCCTTTCAGTGCCAGGTGGATGTGCAATACAGGTCTGGTCACAGGTCAAAAGTTGAAGTATAGGAGAAGGGAAAACATAGAAAAGAAATGAAAGATGTAACAAAATATTGTACGGTTGTTCTTTTCTGTTTGTTGTGTTTTGTTTTTGTTGTCTTGTTACAAACGCTGTGAAATGATACATATTAATTAAGCACACAATAGTGGTCATGTGAAAGAACAATTCGAAGTCAGCATTGTAAAAACGGAACAATAAGCAGAGACATTCTATTTGTTTCCATGGTGATTGCACCACTTTTGCTCTACAAGTGATTTTTTTGTAATTTTAATTGATGAGAATAAGCTTCTGCAAATATTAACATCACTTATATTTTTTTGCTTCAAGTGTATTTGTTCACGTTATAAAGACTTCCCTATGTAGCAGAGCCCCTAAATATTTCACAATGCTGCAAGGAGGCACTTGATTTAATGAAAGTACAATTATTTGCTTTATCTTTTCAATTTAAAATACGTTATGACACAAGCACAAGCCAAACAAATGTGCAGTTTACTTTCTAACTGATAGGTCATTCAGATGGTGAAAACCACCCTTCCCCGAAATGTTTTATTTGCAGTGATCAGTATAGTATACTTTAATCGTAAATACGCAACTACCAGGACAATTAATATGTAGCCTATAAGGAAAGCATACAGGTATACAGGTTGTTCTGTGCTCAAGGCAGGGGGAATGTCTGCAGCAGCGGGTAATACTTCTGGGGAAACACAATTTAGTCAGTGCTATCCACATTCCCCAGAGGATCCTGGGATGGTTGCTTGCTAGCTTGCTGCTAATCAGGAAATATTGCAGTTCACTCCTTAGACTATATTACATAGGGGCATTAAAGCCTCATTGGTATAGGTAGAGAACTAGAGCAGCCTTTACAAACTCTGGCTCTCCACATGTTGCTGAACATTTCCCATGATTCTCTGAGAATTCTTTGAATTCAAAGAATTCTGAGAGTTGTAGGACATGTCACCAAAACAACTACAGCTAAATGTAGTTGTGCTGGTGTGTATAGTCAGTCCCTGCAGATGTTTTGCTGTAAAGTGTTTTAAATTACAGCCTAGGAACATCTCCAGTGGCCACTCCTCAGACAGCTGTTAGTGGTCCTTCCTGGGGCAGTGCTGCATAGCACTGACATTTATTGTCTCCACACTCTGCATGGAGATGCTGAACTTTCCCCATAAAGATACATTGATTCAATGCATCTCTATGAAGAGATGCTGATTGGCCAGGGTGGCATTTTGCTCCCCCCTTTGCTGAGATCATCAACCAGGCAGTGCCCCTAGTGGCTGTCTGATAGAAAACTACTAGAAACAGTCTTAGTCCTGAAATGTAAATACTGCAGTTTCTCTAACACTGCAATGTTTTACATGGTAGGACTAAGGGGGACAGGGACACAGCACTCAGATCACTTCAATGAGATGAGGTGGTCTTGGTGCCTTTACTGTTCCTTTAACAAAGACAAAGCCGCAGATATTTGAATGAAACTTGGACGGAATTTACCATGGGATATCTAAATGTTACACCCACAAATATCCTTAAGGAACATGGGTATATATAGACCAGGAGCCTAATAGGGTGCTTTTCTTTATAATTCTTCTAGAATTTCAGCAACACGTGCAATGTCTCTTTCATATTAAAGATATATCCTGGACAATTATTTAATTGAATCATTTAATACTTTTTGCTAATTGGACTCATGCATATAGCAGTCTATTGTGTGTGCTAGTGGTAAGTAATCAGTGCTGTATTTCAATTCAATCCCCGAGAGAACCTTCTCAACCATAAAAAGGCTATGTAACGACCACTACAAAGAGCTTGATCCATTCCAAAGGAAACTTATTTGCAAGGGAATTAGCAGTTCCCAAGCATCAAAACAAAATCCATCTCAACAATGAGCCTACTTACTAAGCTTATCTGCAAGATGCAGCATTTGCATTTCTTTTTTTTTTTTTCTTGGAAGATTTGTTTCACCAAAGATATTTTAAAAAGATTTAGAAGACAGCGGATCTAAAGCCTCGAGGTGCTCCATAGGCCAGCAGTAACCACAGACTTCAGCTCAATCCGTGATGTAGACTCCTTTCAGGGACTCAATGTCTTGTAGAACACTGTGTGGTCTACTAATTTTAGCACAAGTTAGTTACTTGTGGTTTAGATCAATATGCACTAACTGTATGAGAAGAGGAAAGTCTGGACCATAGTCAGGAAATGTTCTTAGCTAAGGTACTTAAAGGAGTTTACAATCTAAAAGATAAAAAGTTTCAGATTAGTTGATGTGATCCAGCCACATATATTTCCGAGGCAGAAGACAGATTTCAAACATAATTCATACAAATGTTGAAAGGTGCGAAAGGTTTAAATGTTGTTTAATCCACTGTAGGGCATTAAGAGTTTTGAAAAAGCAATTATATTTGATAAAGTTGCTCCTGACGGCTTGCAGGATGACAAAATCATTGATGTTTTTACAATTGATATTGTATATAGATGCATGTTGTTGAGTGGCTTTGAGCAATTAAATTTGGAAGGGGTTGGTATCATATTATTGATCTGGAATATTTTTTGCATATCATAGTAGTGATAATTGTAATATAACTAAAATTAATTTAGCAGTATTATACAATCTGAGAACAAAGTTCTACTTGTATCCAATACAGCCCTGGGGCTCCTTGATAGATATATGTCATAAAACAATAAAAGAAAATCTACGTTAGCATTGAGTGTCATAGAAGCTAAGAATGAAGGAAAGTGACAACGCAATCAAAAGGATGGCATTTAAAAGCCTAGAGGAGAATGACAGTACTGTGATAAAATGGATAAAGGAGGAGTCAGTCGGCGAGGGACTTAATGCGCATGCGCGGCAATGGCCATGCTTGCATTAAGATTTCCCCATAGAAAAGCATTCATCAATCTGAAAATTTGATGCTGGAGGAAAATTTGATGTCCTCCCCCCTGGCCCCCACCCCTGAGCGGTGGGTGGGGGCCCTAAATTAGAATGAAGGGGGGGACCTAATGTCCTCCCCCCTGACCCCACACCTGAGCGGCAGGTGGGGTCCGTAAAGTAAAATAATGGGGGGGACCTATTGTCCTCCCCCCACCCCCACCCCTGAGCGGCGGGTGAGGGCGCAAAAAACTAATTAGGGGGGGACCTAATGCCCTCCCCCCTAGCCTCCACCCCTGAGCGGTGGGTGGGGGCCCTAAATTAGAATGAGGGGGGAGACCTAATGTCCTCCCCCTGGCCCCCACCCCTGAGCGGTGGGTGGGGGCCCTAAATTAGAATGAAGGGGGGGACCTAATGTCCTCCCCCACGGACCCCACCCTTGAGCGGCAGGTGGGGGCCCTAAAGTAAAATAATGGGGGGGACCTATTGTCCTCCCCCCGTCCCACACCCCTGAGTGGTGGGTGGGGGCCCTAAATTAGAATGGGGGGGACCTAATGTCCTCCCCCCTGGCCCCCACCCCTGAGTGGTGGGTGGGGGCCCTAAATAAAAAAATAACCCCCACTCCCCTGGGTGACTAGGGGTCTCTAAACCCCTAGTCACCCCCCTCCCCCAAAAAATTTACCCCTACCTAACCCCCTCACCCTAAAAATAATGAGGGGGGGACATTTAACTAAGTACCTGAAAAAAAAAATGTTTTTTCATTTGGCCTTTTTTGGGGCTGAAAAAAGAAGATTTTAGAAAAAAAGAAAACATCAAATGGTAAGTTTTATTTTTTTTTATTTATTTTTTTCAGGTACTTAGTTAAATATTTTAAGTGTTGCAAATGCTTACAGCTGAATCCTGGCTATGTTTGTATACTTTTTATTTAAAATTGTATACGGTGTGACATTCTTCTTCTTACACTGGATAAGTATATTAGTACTTAGGCAATACTGTGCTTCGGAACTTTGGCAATTCAGCACTTCGGCACTTCAACACTTTGGAAATTCAGTAATTTTGGAACTTTGGGACCTCGGTAATTCATCACTTCGGCAATTCAGCACTTCGGCTATTCGGACATTTGGAAGTATCCGAATGTCCGAATTGCCCGAAATTCGTCCGAATTCATATTCGGCCTGAAACTAATTGCACATGTCTAGTCATTTGAAATGCTCATCCAAAAATATTAAATCGAGGCCATGATTAGGAAGTTTTGGCTTTCTTGGTTTCATTTTATTGAGTTCTCTACAATATGTTTTTATTTTGGTAAGTAAACCACATATTCTAGTAAATAAACTGTAAACAACCATGGGACCTTTAAATGTATATTGAGAAAATGGCTAGACTAAACTTGCTGTGCTGTAATGTCATCAGCAAAGCGTTTCAGAGTGAAGTGTCCGTAAGAAGCAAAACACATTTTTCCCTAATACTACTCTCAGATAATTAAACGTACATAGTATTTAATGCTCAAAGAAAACCTTTTATCGTGGGCCTTCATTCCGTAAAGCTCTTCTTTAGATCAAAGTAAAGTAATGGCAATAATATTCTAAATGCCTTCAAAAGTGGTTGTTATTTCAGTGAAAAAGATAAATTACTACTATGTGTGGAGGCGGGACGTAATGATAAATCAGATTATTACTCACTTACAGAATTTTAATTTTATCCACCCAAGATGATCCTCGTGCAAATCAATGCTTGGAAATGTACAAACATGCTTCTAAAAGGCACATTAAAATGAAATGATGGGGGGCGTGGCCGACCGGCGATGGAGTAGGTCGCAAGTAAGAGAGGCTCTGCAATCCCCGGCTCAAAAGCCCCTGTTCACAGCACACCGGCAGCCACAATGGGGAAATCCCGACGTCAGCTGACCTCCGGACCGCCGGGTACGGCATCGCCGAAACGGCAGGCGGGCCCAATGGACGAGTTTCTGTCCACACCTGACGGCCTCAGACACACGCGGCCGTCGGGCAAAATGGCGCCTGATTCACCAGGCACAAGCAGCACGGCCGGATCCATAGCAGGCTCCACACAAGCAGACACCCTAACCCAGATATCTGCTGAGTTAGCAGCCATAGCCTCCAACATGCTGACAAAGGCAGACAAGGTGACCCTGGTACAGGAAATGCGCTCTGCCATCAGGGAAGAGATTCAAGAGGTGAGAAATGATCTAACCACCCTGGAGCAGCGGGTCACTGAGCTGGAAGCTGATTGTATGCTGGCCTCTCAACACTCCCAAGCTGCCGACAATGCCACCTCAAGGCAGGGTACCGTCCTCCTGGATCTAAGAAGACAGGTCGAAGACCTGGATAACCGCGGACGACGTAATAATATCCGCGTGCGAGGCCTGCCAGAACAAGCGGGGGAAGACCTCAGCGACATCCTGCAGCGACTTTTCGCGGATGTACTGGGAGAGGAAGCCCCAGACACCTACAATATTGAGAGAGCCCACAGAGCACTCCGACCCCCTAGGAACGACGGACCCCCCAGAGACATTATATGCTGTCTACTATCTTTTCAACTAAAAGAAGCCATTATGAAGGCGGCCAGATCACAAAACATCACGTATCTTGGCGCCCAGGTGTCCCTGTTTCAAGATCTCTCGCCCCTGACGCTGGAAGCCCGCCGAGCACTACGTCCACTTACCCGAATGCTGCAAGATAGGAGGATCCCGTACAGATGGGGACACCCTTTTAGCCTACAAGCCCGGAAGGACAATGCATGGCGCACGCTGAGATGGCCGAACGAAGTCCCCGGGTTCCTGAGAGCCCTGGACCTGCCTGCGGTAGCCATACCTAACTGGATCTTGATGGGTCCACCACAGCATCCTGCGGGCCCCGCTGGTCCGACACCGCCTAGCAACCGGAGGGAAAGGCCCCCCCGGAGAGGGGGACCGGACGGCCCCGAAGAATAAAGCCCGGAGTCACATGAGTCTGAGATCCACCCTCCCCCGCGGGATGGCGGTCCCCCCTTCATCTGCACACCTGGCGGGTGCGGACACCCTGGACTTGCAGAGGTTTCTCCCATTGGCGGTATGTGCCTCCCCTCTCTGCTCTAAAACTGTGCCCCACGACAAAGCCCACGCTGGCTGGGTTGCTCCCCCCCCTTCTCCCCCGGGGGGCCCCGGCCTGCTCCGGGATTTAACTGCCTCAGAACTCCAGCCCACGCCTTACGGACAAAACCCAGGACTCTTAGCCATCCAGAAAGCTACAGCGGGTGGGAAAAGCCTACTTGGGAGGAGGGATAGCAGACACGAAATTCACCCTACTTGCAGGTGGGAAAAGCCTACTTGGGAGGGGGGATAGCAGACACGAAACCCACACGTGTGGAGGGCTAACTTACTCTACGATCATGGTCACTCCATCATAGGGGCGCGGGTGGGCCCTGGGCACACAACCTGGGCACTCCTATCCCTCCACATGTGGCTGTTAAAGGTTCCCCTTACTAGTTTTGCTCGGGTGCAGGAGGGTAGTTCGTGGAACTAGCGGGCTTGGGGGACACAGAGGGAGCAGGCGGGGAGCGGGGCCGGGTGCCTGTGCGGGGTGGTGCGGGGAGGGGGGGGGGCGACACTACACCCCCTGTAGCCAACAAGACAGACACTACAAGCCTATGATACCTAGCCCAAGCTTATAGGGGGGGCACCACACCAGGCCTCGGGTTGGGGAATAAGAGGGCCCGATAAACTGAGGCTTCTAACTGGGCTAGTGGGACCTGAGACACAGACACAATGGGGAGGAGAGATCCGAGGTAGGCACCACAGACGTTCCAGGGGGTAGCTGACACCCGCGGGGGGGACTAAAGAGATGGGAGAGGACTGTTAGGGGACCATGAGGCGGGACAGGCCTGGCTCCGGCCGTTTAATAGTATACTACGTTAGGCCAAGTTTATGCTATAATGTTCAAGTTAACCCCTCCTAATTTATTTTATTTATCTTTTTTTTTTTTTTTTTTCCTCCACTGTTACATAATTCTTTGATATATACACAAAGGGTCTGCAGCTCACGGCGGCGATACGTTCTCGAGCGATTGGCTCCCCAGGCTCAGGTAACCCGAGCAACTCACTTGAGCCGGGCACAAGCAGTAGCCTCAATTTCCCCATGAGAATTTCACTCCACCTGGTTACTACAACCCCACACAACCGACTCGGCTTGTAAATTCGATCGGGCCCAGAGGTCTTACCGACCATAGACGGATCGGACGTCCCCTGGGGAACACGACCGATCTTGGGTCACTGTTGTCTTTTACCCCTGACCACACTATCCTCCACCCCCACACACACACCGACGGTCACCGACAGACTTGCTCTCCCCGACATCTCTCCTCCCCCCCTCCACTTATTATATCTAACTTCTCTCCCCCCCCCTCTCTCTTTTCCCCTCACCCCTCCACCCCACCTCCCACTTCCCCATCCCAGCCTGGCCAGCCTCTGCCGCGATGTCTCAAAAATTTCAATCAGCCCCGCTTCGGTTCTGGTCCAACAACATAAGGGGCTTGAACATCCCCGAGAAGCACTCACATCTTCTACGGACACTATGGTCCCAGAAGGTCTCCGTGGCATTTCTGCAGGAGACCCACTTTAAAGATGGGTCAGCCCCCACATTACATGATAAAAGATTCCCTCAGGGCTTCTTTGCGAACCACCAGGACTCCAAAAAATCAGGGGTGGCAATCCTCTTCGCAGGGACGGTGCCCTTCCAATGCACCGCCACACTGGTTGACCCGCTGGGTCGGTATCTCTTCATAAAAGGAACCATAGCAGATCGCCCGTATACCCTAGCTACTGTGTACTGCCCCAACCGGGGTCAACACACATTCCTGGCTAAGGCTCTGTCCCGCTTAGACAAATTCAAGGAAGGCTTACTGATATTAGCGGGTGACTTGAACACCCCTCTGGACCCCCGAGTAGACACGTCAAGGGGTGACAGCACCATCCCAGACCACTGCATACGCAGGACCAAACAAACACTCAACAGACTAGGTCTATCCGACTGCTGGCGGGCGGCACACCCGGACAGCAGGGATTATACCTGCTACTCTGCCCCCCACAATCAATACAGCAGGATAGATTACATCTTTATCGCGCAAGAGTTCCTCCCCCTGCTTATCACTGCAGACATTGGGATCCAAGGAGACTCTGATCACGCCCCTGTGTCCATCCAGATTCAATCGCCCCTCTTCAAGCCACGGGAGCGCCATTGGCGATTAAACGAAACCATGCTATCGGATACAGAATGCTCTAGGCTGACCACACAGGTCCTTACCCAATATTTTGAAACAAACACCACCCCGGACGTGTCCCCCCTGACAACCTGGGAGGCGCACAAATGCGTAATCAGGGGGCACTACATAAATCTTTGCACACAACGCAAACGGGAGAACACCAGACGCATCCTTGAATTGACTAAACGGATAACTGAACTCGAATCCACCCATAAAAGGGATTTGACAGAAGACATCTACCTCCAACTGACCAACGCGAGAAGACAGCTTAGGGACATACTCTCGCAGAAGCTGCTTAAAGTGGTACGCAGCTCACACCGCTTTTTTTATGAACACTCGAATAAATGCGGTAGACTGCTGGCCCGGACTTTGCAGCAGAGACGGAGGCAAACCCACATTCACAAAATAAAAGCCCATGGCCAACAGGAAACGAGACTGCCAGCAGAGATCCTACAAGCATTCAGGGAATACTACACAAGCCTATATAACCTGGCCGACACTCCCAGCGCACTTCACCCCGCACAACACAAACGCGAGCTAACAGACTTCCTCACCAAACACGTCACCCGGAAACTCACCCCCGACCAAGCCGCGAACATGGAACAGCCCCTGTCCCTGGAGGAACTAACTGCGGCGCTTAAACTAACCAAATCAAACAGGGCGCCGGGTCCAGATGGTCTCCCTGGGAGCTACCTTCGCACATTTAGAGACGTTCTGCTGCCGCACCTGTTGACAGGCCTGAACTCTCTGCTAGAGGGCGAACAGTTCCCGATGGACACCCTCAGGGCCGTGGTTACGGTCCTACCTAAAGAGGGAAAAGATCCAGCCTGCTGTGCGAGTTACCGCCCCATTTCCCTCCTGAATGCAGACCTAAAGTTGTTTGCGAAGGCCATGGCCCTCCGTCTTGCCGGGGTGCTTCCCTCACTGGTCCACCCGGACCAGGTGGGCTTCATCCCAGGCAGAGAATCACGGGACAACACCATACGGGCCCTCAACATTATCCACTCGGTTAGAAGACAGGGTCGGCATCTTACTCTCCTCTCCACGGACGCTGAAAAGGCCTTCGACCGAGTGGACTGGGCCTACCTCGCAGCCACCCTACAACACATGGGACTCGGACCTAATATCCGAACATGGATAGCGGCACTCTACACGACACCCACGGCTCGAATACGAGTCAACGGTGCCCTCTCAGAGCCAATCCCTATACGAAATGGCACACGACAGGGGTGCCCCCTGTCCCCCCTGCTGTTCGCCCTCTCCCTGGAACCGTTCCTGGAGGCGGTCAGGATGGACGGGGGAATCACAGGACATACAATAGGGAACGTAGAACATCGGGTAGCGGCATACGCCGATGACCTGCTGTTCTTCCTGGGACAACCCCTGATCTCCATCCCAAACACACTAGGCCTATTCCAACGATTTGGGAGGATCTCGAACCTGAAACTCAACACCGACAAGTCGGAGGCCATGAACATCGCGGCCCCAGCCGCACTCGGGGCGCAACTACGCTCCCACTACGGGTTCAGATGGTGCGGTACCAAATTGAAATATCTCGGCATTTGGTTGACTAAAGACCTCTCACATCTTTACCAGGCTAATTTTGCCCCAATCCTCACCTCCCTACAGGCCGACATGGCCAAATGGACTGACCTCTACATTTCGTGGTTCGGTCGTATTAACGCAATAAAAATGAACATCCTCCCGCGCATTCTGTATCTCTTCCAGACAATCCCGATCACCGTCCCTCGGGCCTTTTTCCACAATATTTCCACCGCGATTCGACACTTCGTATGGAAAAGAGGAGCTCCGAGAATCAGCAAGCTCCAACTGGAGCTACCCAAATTGCAGGGGGGAGCGGGACTCCCCTCGATCATTGGCTACTACCGAGCAACCCATTTGCTGAGGGTCACTGACTGGCACTCGCATCCAACGGAGAAACTATGGGTGCGGGCAGAACTAGCTCAGGCCGAGGGGAAAATACCCTCGGAACTATGGAGGACGGGAATTACACCAAACGCCCTCAACACCGGCAACCCTCTGATAGCCGCAACCCTAAAAGTATGGTGCGCTCTCCGATTCCCCTACCAGTTGACGACACATAGCAACCCGCTGACACCCCTCACCCATAACCCAGACATTGGAGGAGGACTGTCACCCGCTGACCTAAGAAACTTTGGCCGGTCCGATTGGTCCTATATACGCCAATGGTGCAACAACAGCGCACTGAAAACCATACCCGAACTAATCCCTGATACTACACCAACGATGCTCGACCGGTTCAGATATCACCAGGTCAAATCCTTCTACAACTCCGCGACAGCCAAACAGCAATTCCACCGAGACCCCACATATTTTGAAAAAATATGCATCAGTAGACGACACATCGAGAGAGGGATCTCGACGCTATATGCACTGCTATTGGAGGGTGAGAATAGACCACCACCGAAATACATCGCCAGATGGGAGAGGGAGACGGGGGAGGTACTTGAGGCCCGTGAATGGGATAAAATATTCCTACTCACACACAAAAGCTCTATTAGCTCAAAATTCCAGGAGATGAGCTATAAACTACTAACCACCTGGTACCGAACCCCTGACATAATGCATCGCATGAACCCGGACAATGACGAAAATTGCTGGAGATGCGGAGCAGAGAGAGGCACCATGATCCACATATGGTGGACCTGCCCAGCCATCGTCCCATTCTGGGAGATGGTAAACACCAAAATACGAGAGATATCAGACCCTGAGCTCCCACTTCAACCCCTACCCATGCTACTACATCACACCAGCATTTCGCTGCAAACATACAAAAAAATCCCTCACTAGACACCTACTGACTGCAGCTAAATCACTGATACCCACCCTGTGGAAAAAACCGACTTCCCCCACCTTCCAACAATGGGTGGATAGAGTGGGAGAAATACATTCCATGGAGTCCATGACAGCAGCCCTCCGGGGCCATTCGGAGAAATGCCACCTAACCTGGACCCCCTGGATCCTATACACCGCAGCAGCAGGCTCAGCCTCATGAAAAACTTTGCTCCGATAAGTTACCGATGCCCTCTCCCGCCTTACTCCTAATCTTGCTTCCTCTTTTCCCCAGCTAGACTACACCCGCCACCCCACCCCATGTAACCCCCTCAGCCTCTTGACTTCTGCTTGACCAGACCACCCCACACCACGTACTTGACTGAGACATTTAATCCAAGAGAACATATACAGATGTTCCATACCAAACACGGATCCACAGAGGGACAGCAGATAGAACTCACAAAAGCGATATTAAGGGACAGAAACACACAAGATACCCTAAACGCCCAAAAATCTAATGGCCCATAAGCTAGATCCACCGCACAATAGACCCCATAGCTTTTAGCCCCAGAAGCAACCCAACAACACACATGCAATACCACCTGCTAGGCTCGCACACCCGTGGGACATATCTCATACTCATGCTCCCCAACCACAGAAAAGAACATTTCCTACAGGGCTCGTACACCTGGACACAGGTGGGACGGGACAGGACACCCTAGCCACAACATTTGAAAAGCCCTAAACAAACCCGCCGGAAAGCCCCGCCACAAGCAAACCCACCCACACATACAGCCTCTACAAACTTGCACTTGGCTGGGCCCCACACCCCTCCCACGAATATCACGCCTTGAGCTGCAAGAGGTCCCAAATGGTTGGGGGTATGAGAATATCAAAGACATAGGACACTCACAGATACAGAACAGGCCGAATTGCACTTGATAATGGATATACCCACAGCTCTCAACTACTGTGTGATCTATAAACACGGAAATGGATATTGTTAT